TCTGGGCTACTATTCTTGCCCTTTCCTCTGCATAGGATGCCCTTCCCTCAGCAAGGCTGGCTCCTTCCCAAAGGCCTTCCCTAACCACCTCATCTAAAGCAGTGGCTGCACCACTTTACCCTGGTCACTTCTATCCCCTTACTCTGATCTATTTTATTCATATTTCTGACCATCTGAAATTCTCATTTGTTTAAATATGTATGTACTTATTTTGTTCCTCCTTCTATTAAAATGTACACCAACCTGTCCCCAGAGCCTAGTATGGTGCTTGGCAACTAACAATTGCCTTGGTGATACTAGACGAATATAAAGACGTATGAAAATAATCAAAAAGCCATTGTTCAACAACAGTGGTATTGCATACAGTCATGCTGAGGAAATGCAGTTGGACACAAACTTCCTCCCTTACATGGCTGGGTGGGTTTTTTAAATTTATTTTTTTACTTGTTTTATTATTTTTAAAAAATATTTTTATTGATTTCAGAGAAGAGAGGGAGAGATAGAAACATCAATGATTCTATCTATGATATTTCTATCTCTTCCTCCCTGAAATCAATAAAAATATATTTAAACAAACAAACAAACAAACAAAATCCATTTGGAGCCACCATAATTGTCCATTACAGCTCAGGTGAAATTGTCAATTCAGAATGAAGGCTAAAGACTTTTCAGATAAAAGAAAACCACTCGCTGCCAGCAGACCTGCATTACAGGAAATGTTAAAGCGAGTTTTCCCAGCTAAAAGGAAATAACACCAGAGAGAAATTCAATTCTTCAGAAAAGAATGGAGAGCACTGGAAATCATAATTAGAAATATTATAAAATTATTTTTCTCTTAATTTCTTTAAAATACATATGACTAATTAAACATTATCTTATGGGTTTAAAACAAAGGCAGATAGAACACATAGGACCTTCTTCCTCTGAACTCCAGCACTGGGGCAGAGGCATGGAGGAATCCAGGGACATATGGGGAGGAACTGGATTGTCTGGCATTGGAGCAAGTACTCAGGGGCGGCTTTCTCCCAGACAGGGGTGCTCATAGGGGTCATTCTTCCTATGCTGAGACCTCCTCTATCACAGAGCTGACTGGCAGCCAAATAGGAAATTCCATCAGCCAGGCTTACACTGTTCGCTCCACAGTGCTGATTCCCTGAGACCCTGCCCCATCCAATTTGCAGCCCCACCCAAGCTGTTTGTAGCAGTTTTTCTGTATGACTGGCCTGTCCTGGTTCAGGCTTCAGGTTTTTGTAAAATCTCTCAAATAAGCATCAGCTGGCATCAAAATGCTCTATACCTATCAATAAGAGGCCCCAAACTATGTCCTAGCAGTAGCCTGCCTTGCTTCACAGCTTGGTGTGGCCTAGGCACTTCCAAGTCCAGCACAAGTAGCCACCATCTCCAGATTGCTTTGTATCTCCTCCCAGGTCATCCCAGGCAGTGGCTGCCTTTGAACCTTTCAGGAGACCTCAGAGCCAGTGTACCCAGTGGTCAGCTTCAGACTATACCAGATGACAACTCTACACATCGACAAGTGACATACTTAAGTAGCAGATTCAGTGAGCGCCAAAGCCCCACTGAAGCAAGTCCTGCTCCATAGGGGTGTCTCTTGCACAGCAGCTCTTCCATTGTAGCTGCAGCTAGTCCTTACAGCCAATTGACCTGAAGGTCAATTTCTCCCAGTGACACCAACAACAATCAAGGCTCAATCACAACAAGACTGTGCACACAGCCTACACTGGGTGCACCTTGAGTGCCCAGCTCAGGTGACTGGGGAGGTGAGCCACTGGGCCTTACAGGACACCTACTACACAAGGCCACTACAAATTCCAGGAGACAGAGCAGCTCTATCTAATATATAGAAACAAACACAGGAAAGCAGCCAAAATGTGGACACAAAGAAGTATGTCACAAATGAAAGTACAGAAGAAATCTCCAGAAAAAGAACTAAATGAAATGGAAGCAAACTAACTATGAGATATAGAGTTCAAAACAATGATTATAAGGATGCTCAAGAAATTTAGTAAGAGCTTCAAGGAACTTAGTGAGAACATGAACGACATAAAAAAGGACCAGACATAAATGAAGGATACCCTCACTGAAATGAGGAGTAATTTGTAGGGAATCAAAAGTAGAGTAGAGGATGTTGAGAATCAAATCAGCTATTTGGAATATGAGGAAGCAAAAAACACCCAATCAGAAGAGCAAAAAGATATGACTGTCAGTTGATTTCTCAACAGAAATTTTGCAGGCCAGAAGGGAGTGGCAAGAAATAGTCAAAGTAATGAATAGCAAGGACCTACAACTAAGATTACTCTACCCAACAAAGCTCTCATTTAGAATTGAAAGTCAAATAAAGAGCTTCACAGACAAGAAAAAGCAAAAGGAGTTCACCACCACCAAACCAGCATTACATGAAATGTTGAAGGGTTTTCTTTAGGAATAAAAAAAAGGATAAAAAATGTTAACAATAAAATGCCAATAAATACATTATCTATCAACAATTTAATCTAAAAAACAAAATAAACGAACAAGGAATCTAACAAAATAAACTGATGAATAAAATAGAAACAGAGGCATGGGAACATGGAACAGACTGGAAAATCTCAGAGGGAAGAGGGGTGGGGAGTGCAGAAAGAGATTAACCAAAGAACTTACATGCATATATGCATTTCCTAGGCAATAGAGTGGTGAAGGCCTAGGAGAGGTAGGAACCAGGTGGAGGGAACAAAAAAGGGGTACATCTGTAATACTCTCAACAATAAAGATTTAAATAAATAATACAGAAAAAAACACACAATTAAAAGAAAGACAGATATAACACATAGGACATCTGTAACTTAAAGCAGGTGTTCTCAGTCTGGGGATTTTGGTAATGCCTGGATATATTTTCTATGGATGAGGGTGCTGCTAGTATCTAGTGAGTAGAGGACAGAGATGCTGTTAACATCCTATAATGCACAGGACAGTTCCTACAACAAAATATCAATAGTACCTACATTGAGAAATCCTGCCTTAAAGGGTGAGGGACAGAGTGGTAAATCAATCTGTTTTTGGTAAATATTAACTCTAAGTAGGCTGTGAAGGTAAGTGCATATTGCAAGTCCTAGAGCAAAGATAGAAGAAAAATTATGCCTCATTAAAAAGCCAATAGATATCTAATATGAAATTCTAAAAATATATTCAAATAACATAAAAGAAGGCAAGGCAGGCCTGGCCAGTGTGGCTTGTGGTTAGAGTATATACCTGGGTTACAGGTTGGATGCCCAGCCCTGGTCGAGGTGCATGCGGGAGGCAACCAATTGATGTGTCTCTATCACATTGATGATTCTCTCTCTTTCTCTTCCCTCCTCCCCCCAAAAAAGGCAAGAAAGGAGGAACAAACAAAAGCCAGAAGGGAGAAACAGCAATCAAATGTTTGGTAGCTTTGAATTTAACCACACAACAGACTTCAAGACAGATTAAATGTTAAAGGACTATTTCACTTTAAGATCCAATCAGCAGGGAGCTTAAAGTCATACTATCCAAACAAATGGTCAGAAAGTGCCATGCTCCATTGAGAAATTAACTAATATGTTTATTTCCAAGCTAATGAAGGAGGGTGAAGGCAAGTCAGAAATCATCTCATAGAGAGGTGTTGCCAACACAAACCACACACAAAACCCTTCGTTAAAGACAAACTTATCAATAAAAAATTGATAAAATGCACGCGGAATCTACTGCCAAGAGAGAACCCACAGGTGAAACAAACAGGAGAAACATGAAATTGTATTGCAACTTAAAAGAGTGAAATAGCCCTAGCCAGTTTGGCTCCGTGGATAGAGTGCTGGCCTGAAGACTGAAGGGTCGTGAGTTCGATTCTGGTCAAGGATATGTATCTTGGTTGCATCCCTGGCCTGTCAGGCACGTGAGGAGGCAACTAACTGATGTGTCTCTCTCACATTGATGTCTCTGTCTCTCCCTCTCCCTTCTACTCTCATTAAAAATCCATGGAAAAATATCCTCAGGTGAGGATTAATAAAACAAACAAAAAAGAGTGAAATAAGTACTTTGAGAAATTCAGGCAAGGAAGAACAGAAGATATAGAATTTAGGGACAGAAGACTATAAACTATGAAAAGGCAGGTCTGAAAAGAGCAGTATGCTATTTTTTTGCTGGAATAAGCCACTTGAGACCTGTAAGTATTTAACTTAAATGAAAATGTGTATCAGCTTATAACATCTGAAGCTACAGCTTCTATAATAAATGACTGGGAATGGAATCCACCACCTTTCAGCTGTTTTTAAAAAAATATAATATTATTAAAAAAAATATATAATATTATTGATTTCAGATAGGAGGGGAGAGGGAGAGATAGAAACATCAATGATGAGAAGTAATCATTGATTGCCTGCCTTCTGTACGCCCCCTACTGGGTATCGAGCCAGCAATCGGGCATGTGCCCTTGACCGGAATTGAACCCGGGACTCTTCAGTCCACAGGCCAATGCTCTATCAACTGAGCTAAACTAGCTAGGGCCAGCTGTTTTTTAAGATTATGTTTCTATCAGGTTGAGATAAGGAAACTGAACTTCTAAACAACTGTTTTCAATAAGTGCATGTGTAGGTGCTTAATAAATGTCATTCAAAAAATGTTAATGATTAAACACTCTAATTAATAGGCAGGTATTGTCAGAATGGATAAAAATGTAAGCCCCAATTATAGACTGTCTACAAAAGATACAATTTAAAGGCACAGACTAAAAGTAAATGGATGGAAAAAGATATATCATGAAAACAGTAAGAATGAGAAGGCTGTAGTAGTGATATTAAAATCAGACAATAGATTTCAAGACAAAGACTGAGAGACATACTATATAATAAAAGGCTAATGTGCAAATAATAGCCCAAAAGGCAGAACAACAGGTCACTATGATGCACACTGACCACCAGGGGGCAGACGCTCAACGCAGGAGGGAGTGGGAGTGCCACTGTGGGAGTGCCACTCAGCCAGAAGCCAGGCTCATGCAGCAGCAGTGGTGGGAGCATCTCCTGCCTCCATGGCAGCACTAAGGCATCAGTTGGACATCCCCCAAGGGCTCCCAGGCTGGAAGAGGGTGCAGGCCAGGCTGAGGAACACCCCGAGTGCACGAATTTTGTGCACCGGGCCTCTCGTTTCATAATAATAATGAAAGGGCAAATTCATCAGGAAAACATAATAAACAAGAGTTTCAAAGGCATTAAGCAAAATGGACAGAATTAAAGAAACAGATAATACCATGATTATAGTGGGGTGATTTTACTATCTCTCTCTCAGTGACTGAAGGAAGCAGAAGAAACATCAGTAATGATGATCAGAAAAACACTAACAACCATCTTGAACAAACTGATATCTGTGGAACACAGCACCCAGCAACTGCAGAACAGTCTTATTAAGTGCACATGGCACACCCAGCAACAACTATTGGGCTACAAAACAAAACAAGTTTGAATAAATTTAATGGGCTAAAAATCATATAGGGCAGTCTTTGGCTGCAAAGGAGATCCATTACAAATCAATAACCACTAGACAATTAGGAAAATCCTAAATATTTGATAAAATGTAAAGTAATCCACAGGTCAAAGAAGGAATCAAAAGAGAAGCAAGCGCGGCTCAGGAGGAAGTGTCTAGTTTTTAATGGACCTTTTAGAAAAGGCAGGTCTAAAATCAATGACCTAACATTTCACCCTGAGAGATTAGACCAGATAGCAAAGAAAAGCAAAAGTAAGTAGAAGGGAGGAATAACAAGAAAAACAAAGGGAAGGGTGTTGGGACTTGTGCCACTGGCTCTTGCAGTTAGTTACCTCATTGGCTGCAGCTGCCATAGGAGTTGGATGGTTGACGGCATCGCCCAGAGCAATGGCTAAGCGAAGATCCTTCTGAATGTATTTCAGGTAGAAATCAGGTTTAAAGTTTCCTTGCAGAATATCTGAGGAGAGAAAGCCACTTATCAGAACAATTAGTAGGACCCTAAATAAGAAACTACCTGCAAGTACCACCAGGGTTCAACGCATAGCATTTCTCCTCCCCTCAGACACCCAAGATACAAGTTTCCAGCCTGTACCCCCAAATCCTATCTGCCGTGTCTCTGGACCCTCACTACCTGGGGATACGGAGAGGGTGCATCTTTCATACCTAATGAGCCCCTGAAGAGACTGTTGTGACAGTGGCCTTACCCAGTTTCTCAGCTCTAATAATAATAATAATTATAAAGCAAGAAGAGAGGCCTATGACAACTTACTTTGGCACTTCTGGTCCAGAAAGATGCTGGCCAATTGTCCTTGATTGAGAATGTCCAAGAATGTCTGCTGGGACTGGCCTGTCACTTGGGCCAGGGTCAACCCCTCAGCGATAGTTGCCATGAAGCTCCCCTGGACCATGTTCACAATCAGCATCATTTTGGCTGCATTGCCAACCTCACCTGCCCAGGGCAAAGAATCATGGTCACTTCCCAAGAATCCGACAGGCAGGGACTTTCTATCCCCCTCATCCCTGCTCAGACCCACCTCTACAACCAGGGAAGACCCCATTCACCTGCCCCTGACAGAACTGGCTCTGACCCTCTGGTTCTTCCTCCGTCTAGGCACTGACTGTGCAAATCAAAGAAAACCTTCCCACAGGGGCCCCAGGCTGAAAGGCCATGTGGAATTGACGTCGTCATCAGTGCAGTCTAGGGGGAATGTGGCCCAACAGGTGGGCAGGTATGTTACCTAGAAAGAAGGAGGTCTTCCCCATTGCCTGGAAGCAGCTGCTGCAGTCCTCATATAAGCCCCTGTCTCCGGCTGCTAAGATCACCAACATCCCATCATTAGACAGCTGCTGGTTCCCTGAGACTGGGGCTTCCAGAAAGCGGCCCCCCCTGGACACAATCACCTGGAAAGGAAAGTCACAGCTTCTGGAGTCCTTGCCTCTCTCACGGGTCTCGGGCAGGGAGCAAAGAGGGTTCTTGGGTGGAAGTACTTGGCCCTCCACATGGAAGCCCCAAAGCCAACATCCGTACAAAGGTGCTGGACTAATGCTGTGGGAGGGTCAGCAGATATCCTCCAACAGATGCCTGACTCACATGTAGTAAAGAGAGGCTAGGCTCCTCATAAGTTCCAATTTACTCTGAATTTCTTATAAAGACCAGAGATTATAACCAAACATGGCTGTGCCAACGGCTTGGTTGTCTACACCTCCTATGAACACCGCCCTTCCCGGACTTCACTCTTTGAACACTCACGAGCCAGAAGTCACCACTCCCTCACTTGGGCCCAGCAGCTCAGGCAGGAGGAATACTCTGCAGATAGATGCTTAAACCAAAAAGGCTGTGCTGACAGCCTGGACTGCTTCTCACTGTGAGGCTGGCAACTATGGGATCTGAGGCCCATCTCAGCTAGGCAGCATCTCTCCTCTCATGGCCACTTAGATTAACTGTGTCTTCAAAGGTAGAGAATGAAGACAGGCTAGTCCCAAGGCTATTGGCCTCACTTCTTCTCTCCTCTCTGGCTTTGGCTCTAGAGCAGTAGTTCTCAATCTTCTGGCCCTTTAAATACAGTTCCCCATGTGGTGACCCAACCATAAAATTATTTTTGTTGCTACTTCATAACTGTAATGTTGCTACTGTTATGAATCGTAAAGTAAATATCTGATATGCAGGATGGTCTTAGGCGACCCCTGTGAAAGGGTCGTTCGACCGCCAAAGGGGTCGCGACCCACAGGTTGAGAACCGCTGCTCTAGAGTAACCAAGTTGTCCACACTTGGGCATGGTCAGCTTAGGTCTTGGGATCCAACCAAAAGGATGCTGGAGGGCCAGCCTGAACAAGGCTGCTACCTGGGCCAGCTCGGTGACTGTGTCAGCATCCACTGTTGACATGTCCACGTAGCACTTTCCGGGACGGATCCCTTGCAGTACACCACTGGGGCCCAGCACCAGCTGTGGGGACACAAGGGAGAAGCAATAGCCCAGGCCCCCAGCCAGATACCCAGGAACCCCTTAGACCCAAAGTCAGAATTCATTTGCTTTTTTGGTTCATTTCCTGATAAGGAGCTAATAAATATTAAGGCTGAAAAGGGAAAAGCAAGTAAATAAGCAAGGGAAAGAAAAGTATTTCTGGTATGTTCCCATTTATCTTTAAAAATAGTAAATTTCTATTAAAAACTTCCCATTTAAAAGATGGAATCTCACTGTTTCAGTTTTGGGGCTTCTTTGGATCTACTTGGATTAGACTAGTCACCAGTTTAACAAGATGACTACTGCACTTGAACTTTTAAAACTTACAAATACAGTGATAGCCAAACATAGGAACTTGGCACATAGACCAAAAGCACACACAGCCCCAAAGCTTCCAGCTCAATAAGAATATACCACAGACCATTTTAGAAGACCTCAGGGATCCTAGCCATTTTCATTCTTTGTTCTGAATTAAAGGTAAGTCTGTATTCAATTTATGCAAACACCCTTCATATGGGAGATAGCCCCCAGATGGGAAATTCAACCCCCCACATGCAGACACTCACTCCGTATGCAGGGGAGAAGGGGAGGAGGCCAGCCAGCTTTCCTGGCCACAATCTGAGACGCTGAGGGGAGGGAGGGGATCCTTACATCCTTGGCCGCCTTTGGATCCGACACACAGGCAAAGGTGATGTCACAAGTTGAAACAACTTCAGCGGGGGTTCTTCCTAGGCGGGCCCCCTCCTGGATGAACAAATCACACTGCAAAAGTCACAGATCCTAACGTGAGCTGCAGGCATTGCACAACAAACACGACAGCCAGGCCAGAGATACGGTGCCCAGTCCTCCTGGCTGGCCTTCCAAGGCAGGAGGCAGGCTGAGGATGGGAGCCCCAGACACCAGAGCTGGTGGTCTGACTTCTTGGGGGAAGCGGATGGGGCTTCTTCAGGACTTTCTTGTGTTTTCACATACTTGGTGCCTAGATGATGTTTTACTTCACAGTAAGCACAAAACAAGTGTCTGCCGAAGGATTCCTGTTTGAAGACAGGATGTAAACAGTGCCTGTTTGCAGCCCTTCGTGGCTATCTTGGCTACGGCAAAACCACGCAGTGCCCTGCGTTATCAGCACTGTGCTAGGGAAGCAGGGCCAGGGCTGGGAGGCTGCCATTCCTTACTATGATGTTTCTGGGGGTCTGAAAACACTAATTTAGTGCATTACCCGTTTTCAAAGGCATTTAAAAAGTAATTAGAATAACTTGAACCTACTATTTTGTATCCAACGTTTAATATTTTGTAAGGCCCTAACCGGTTTGGCTCAGTGGACAGAGCGTCGCCCCGCGGACTCAAGGGTCCCAGGTTCGGTCAAGGGCATGTATCTTGGTTGTGGGCACATACCCAGTAGGGAGTGTGCAGGAGGCAGCAATCGATGTCTCTCTCTCATCGATGTTCCTTTCTTCTTCTTCTTTTAAAAAAAATATATTTTATTGATTTTTCCGAGAGAGGAAGGGAGAGGGATAGAGTTAGAAACATTGATCAGCTGCCTCATGCACACCTCCTACTGGGGATGTGCCCGCAACCAAGGTACATGCCCTTGGCCAGAATCGAACCTGGGGCCTTTCAGTCCGCAGGCCAATGCTCTATCCACTGAGCCAAATCGGTTAGGGCTCTCATCGATGTTTCTAACTCTCTATCCCTTCCCCTTCCTCTCTGTAAAAAATCAATAAAATATATTTAAAAAAGTATTTTGTAAGGCTTACATTTATCCATATTGTCTCTCATTATTATCACTTACAATGAATGGCTGTAAAATATTCCATCAAGAGACATATCTGGATTTACCTAATGGCTCCACTGCAGTTTGATAGTTGGACTGCTTTTAATTATAAATGACTCTAACAAATATCCTTATGTTTTCAATTTAGACTTCTAAGAATAAAACAGGCTCAAATGGTTTTCATGCTCATAATAAATGTAGACAAATGGTTTTTCAATAGGGCTGAGAATATATAATGATCACCAACAAGGTCTCAAATCACCAGCACAGAGTACATCATTTAAAAACATCAATCAATCAAGCATACATACATTAAAATTTTATCCTACTTGATTTAACCAGCTAAAAATAGCAACTTTTCACCTGACCTATTTTGAGTACTCCTGATAATTAAACCTTTTAAATACTTTTGTTTTTAAATTGTTTACTCTTCTGTAAGCTACTTCTTTATTTAATAATTCTTTATTATTGAAAGTATTACGTATGTCCCCTTTTTTCCTCCCTTGACCTCTCCAGACCCCCCCACCCTCCCAGGCCTTCAGCACCCTATTGTCTGTGTCCATGGGTTATGCATATATGCATACAAGGTCTGTGAGCTACTTCTTTTATATATTGCTGAATGTGAGCTACTTTTTATCTTAAGAGTTATCAAACTATGTATTTCATAAAATCAACATATTACCCTTTTCTATCATCTTTGCTATAAAGCATTTTTAATTGGTGTACCTTTCACTTTTATTTTTTGTTGTGGGGAGTATTATTAAAAACTGTCCATCTTTTGTATGGTGCCAGGTGGGTACAGGGAATGTTATTGGGGGGAACATTGTAAAGTATATGATTGTCTAAACACTATGTTGTATATCTGAAACTAATACAAAAATAATACTGAATGTAAATTATAATTGAGAAAAAGAAAAAAAACTACATATCTTTTTCTTTAGTGATTCTGATTGTGTCTTAGGCTTAGAAAGATCTATGTTAATATTTAGTTGTCTTTCCTTTTTAAAAAAGTATTTTTTTTTATTGATTTTAGAGAGAGGGAGGGAAGGGGGGGGAGAGAGAGAGAGAGAGAGAGAGAGAATGGACAAGAGAGAGAAACATCAATCAGATGCCTTCTGCATACCCCCTAATGAGGATGGAGCCTGTAACCAGGTATGTGCTCTGATCAGGAATCAAACACTCAAACTTTCAGTGTATGGGATGAAGCTCCAATCGAGCCACATCGGCCAGGGATATTTAGTTTTATTTCCTTCTGGTTTTTCCTTTGAAAAAAAAAAATGTAGTAATCTACCTGGAATATATTTTATTATGTGGTAAGAAGTGAGATTAATATTTCCTCCAATTTCTAACCAGTTGTTCTGAACAAACTTACTGACCAACCCTTCTTCAACATCACTGATTCACAGTGCGATGGCTCTATCAGAGGAAGTCCTAGGCTTTCTGGGCTACCTGGTAGGTCTGTGTCTTTACTATAGCACACATCATCTTGGTGAATTTACATTATTATGTTTTTACATTTGCTTGGGAGAAGACCTCCTCATTACTGAAAATTTTAAAATGTTCCATCTTTTACCAGAAGGACCACAGGATTATTTATTTATTTATTAAAAAATACATTTTTATTGATTTCAGAGAGGAAGGGAAAGGGAGAGAGAAAAACATCGATGAGAGAATCATTGATCAGCTGCCTCCTGCACGCTCCCAACTGGGGACTGAGCCCGCAACCAGGGCATGTGCCCTTGGCTGGAATCGAACCTGGGACCCTTCAGTCCACAGGCCGACGCTCTATCCACTAAGCCAAACCAGCTAGGGCAGAATCATTTTTATTAAGATCCTTTTATAAAAATTCCATGGGGACTGTCATAAGGATTAAATGGCTTTTCAAAGATGACATTTACTACATAACTTGTGCCAGGCACTGTGCTGAGTACTTTACATCATCTCATTTAACCTTCACACCCCCATGACGCTGGGGCTTTTGCTGTCCATCATTTTACAGATCTAGGGAGGTAAACTATTTCACTGAAGCCCTAGGGCAAGCAGCAGAGTGTGACTTGGACTAGATCGGCCCGACTCCAAACCCAAGTTCTACCTGCTTTGCTCTCCTGCCTTCCTGTAAATGAATCAGAAAGGAATGGCCTTGTTTGTAACATTTCTGCATTTTAATCAGGAAAACAGGAAGACCAGAGGCACTTCTATCAAAGGGGAAAGTACTTATAAGCAAACGCCCTGGTTCTCCTGATGTTCTGCCACTGTGTACCTCTAGATTTCCTGACTACTCTAGCTTTGAATCACAAACTACCCTGTCGATGAAGCCTCTGAGATCCACTCCTGACTTAGGTCCCCACAGTGCCCAGCCCCTGAAGCAATCCCTTAGCACGGCCTTCAGTGCCCTCTTCAACTCTTCAACCCATTTTTGTTATTCTTGAAAAGGACTTTGTTTCAGCACAGTGAATTTCTTACTTTGCTAGAACATTTTTGTTAACCCAAATACATCAGCTCTGCCAACTCCTTCAGCAATCACACCTTATTTCAGCTCTCGAACCTGTGCACATAAAGAGACATGCACCCAGTCATTTCACAAATACATGCTCAGCCACACCTTGTTCCTCAAGAAGCCGGCCCTTTCTCAGTCTTTCTTTTGTTCCTGGCAAGTACAGTGTTTAATTTCCTGGTACTCAGATGACAGTTCTTCATCTTTTTTTGAATGACAACTTGATGGGAGCCAGGGCCTCCATTACAAAAGGTACACATTAACAGCTTTGGAATTCCAAGGCAGGGCCACACAGACCCGTGGAAGTTGTGGACTGCCACCTTAGGTTAAGAACTTCTAAATGTGTTCTGTCCAATATGGTAGCCACTAGCCAAATAGGAGTACTTATTTTTGTTAATTCTCACTACCAATGACATTTTTTCCATTGATTTTTAGAGAGAGTGGAAGGGAGGGGTAGAGACAGAGAGACACACTGATGTGAGAAAGACACATCAATTGGCTGCCTCCAGCACGTGTCCCGATTGGGGCCAGGGATTGAGCCAGCAACCTAAGTACATGCCCTTGACCTGAATCAAACCTGGGACCCTTTAGTCCACAGGCCGACGACTTAACCACTGAGAAAAACTGGCTAGGGCCAAAGGGGACTATTTTTAAAAATATATATATTTTATTGATTTGCACATGCCCTTGACTGGAATCGAACCCGGGACTCTTCAGTCTGCAGGCCGACGCTCTATCCACTGAGCCAAACCGGTTAGGGCCAAAGGGGACTCTTTTAATTTAAGTGAAATAAAATTAAAAATTCAATTATTTAGTTGTACTAGCCTTGATTCAAGTATTCAAGAGCCACATGTAAGTAAGCCACTGTGCCTAGCATGGCAGGCTGTGCCCACAGGCTCAGCACACAGGCCACAGGAATCCTAGAAGGCCTGTCCTTGCTGACAATTACTATGGGCTGCCGGTTTTTATGATAGAGGTGGGATGGGACCCTTCATTAATATTTGACTTTAATAAGTGGGTAAGGATATATTTTTTTGTCTATGTTCTGTTTCAACTTATGTAGATTATTATAAATTGATGTAAACCACGTGAGAGGAAAATGTTAATAAAAAAATGCAAAGCCCCTCCTCCCCCAAAAAAGAGCCCCATGTGGTTAGTGACTACCAAACTAGATAGTGCAGATACACAACATCATCACAGCAGAATGCTGTATGCACAGCTAACACAATCCAACTGAATACAGTACAGTCACTGAAAAGGATGCTGTACATCTATCTATACACATTCCTTACCAATGACTTCATAATACACACTCCTATTTTGTGAACATGGAAAAAAGGATGCAAACACCTAACATGGGCTAGCTCAGGTAATAGCAGAGAGGGAGGAATTCTCCTTTTTTATTTTTGTTAATCCTCACCCAACAATATTTTTTCCATTGCTTTTTAGAGGGAAGGAGGGAGGGGAGGAGAGAGAGAGAGAGAGAGAGCGAGAGAGAGGGAGAGAGAGAGAGAGAGAGAGAGAAGAATCAAACCTACAACACTTTGGTGTGGAAGGCAATGCTCCAACCACTGGGAAACAGCTGCCAGTGTAAATTTTAACTTTGTTTTATATTCCTGGGTACCTATCTTCTATAATAATAAAAGCACAGTATGCTAATTAGACCGGACATCCTTCCGGACGACCTTCCAGACGAAGCTGGGGTTGCGAGGGAAGCCGGTGCCAGCAGCAGGCAACCAGGGGAAGGAAGGCCTACTCTTACACAAATTTCGTGCCTCTAATTTTTTTAAATAAATAAACACACACACACACACACACACACACACATTTTTTACTCAATTTAGAGAGAGAGGAAGGGAGAGGGAGAGTAACATTGATGAGAGAGAGAAACATTGATTAGTTGTATCCCACAAGCACCCTGATTGGGGATCAAATCCGAACCTGGGTATGTGCCCTGAGTGGAAATCAAACCAGCAACCTTTCAGTGCATGGGATGATGCTCAACCAACAGCAACACAGGCCATGGCACCCCTGGGTACTTTTAAATATTTAGTTTCTATACTAATACTCTAAGCTTATTTGTCTACATATCTACCTGCTTGAATAATAGTGTGGCTCCTCCTACTCTACCACATGCAGAATGCTGAGTGAAGACATCAGGAAGACATTCCCATCTTTAGTTACCCCAACTCCATGGGTCAAGGCTTGTTCCCTCCCTGCTGACAAGCACCACTCATTAATGCTTACTTTTTCTGCAGTCCGGTTCCAGACAGTCACCGTGTGACCCATTTTTAATAAGTTGGAGACGATGCCACTTCCCATCAGGCCGAGGCCCAAAAATCCTATCCTGAAAAAGAGAGAGACTGATTAGTTTGGGGAGGAGTGGAAAGGACACACACACAGGGTAAGGTATCCTGAATGCAGCATAGACTCTGCTTCCTCATCAACCTGGGGCGGGATCTCAGACCACCAGAAACATCGCTCAGCGGTGTTCTGACACCACGAGCACTGAGCCAGATGTGGCCCATGCCGATTGTGCCTTTTCTTATTATGCCATCGCTTAAGTGTCCCTAGATTTAAAAGGGCATTTCTAAACCCTTGACTGCCACAGAAAGAATGATGACATTTTTGGTTTAGGTGTTCCAAATCATTTCCTTGATGCTTTGATAGAGAGTCTGAGCTTACAATTCCGTAACAGTGAGAAAGCAGACATTTGTCTTCGGCTTTGCAGGAGTTTTGAGCTCTAGGTCTTCAGATGCCTCTTGAAAGCACAACAGGATCCATGACAAGTAATTGAAGAGTCAGAGCCAGCCACCTTCCTCAACTGCAGAAATCTGGGTCCCAGTCTTCCCACTCATCTCCAGGCTCCAAACCTATGCTACCTTTGCATTCTTCCTATTAGCAGAGACAAGCCATGTCTCTCTTCTTCAAAGCTTTGCCTGAGCTTTGGAGCCAAACTTTCCCAGCGCACAGATTCTTCCCAAATCTGCCTTCTCTTGCACCTTTCCCCATTACCACTGCTGGCCCACCCCTCTCTGCTCTCTACTACACCCTTCTAACTGTAGGCCCATTATGATCCTTTATCATGCTCTGTGTACCTTCACTTCCTATAGCCTGCTTCTTTCTGCAACCCCAAGAACTTGGGGACTCCTGCTTTTACAGATGATTTTACCCTGCCCAAATGTCTTTTCTTGGTTCCTGTATTTCTTTATTATCTCTCTTGGCATGTGACTTGGCTCAACTATGCCTCTTCATTTCTTATTACATTATGTTGTAGTTTTCACCTCAGGCTTTCTCTCAGCTCTGGACACACTCTGCAGCTTCTCCACTTTGACCTGTGTTATCCTTTCAGTATTTTTGGTCTCTGGTGAGACATCTGCAGCCACTTCTGCAAATTGGCTTTTCTACTCAGTTTCCCCTAATCCTTGCTGGAATATGCACTTCTCACACTCTCTGTCCCAGAGAGCAGTTATCAGAATCAAATGTAAAAAATGGAACAGGATCTGAATAGAGACACTTCTCTAAAGAGGAGAGACATATGTCCAATAGACATATGAAAAAATGCTCAAGGTCACTAATCGTCAGGAAGATGCAAATTAAAACTCCAACAAGGTATCACCTCACACTTGTCAGAATGGCCATCATCAATAAATCAACAAACAACAAGTGCTGGCTAGGCTGCGGAGAAGGGAACCCCAGTGCACTGTTGGTGGGAACGTAGACTGGTGGAACCACTGTGGAAAACAGTATCAGTTTCCTCAAAAAATTAAAAATGGAACTGCCTTTTGACCCAGCAATCCCACTTCTGGGTATATATATATCCTAAGAATCCTTAGTATAGCAGCCTTATCTACAATAGCCAAAATCTGGAAACAGGCCAAGTGCCCATCAGTAGATGAGTAGATAAAAAAGTTGTGGTACATTTACACAATGGAATACTTACTATGCGGCTATAAAAAAGAAGGAATTCCTACTTTTTGCAACAACATGGATGGACCTAGAGATTACTATGCTAAGTGAAATAAGCCAGTCGGAGAAAGACAAAGACTATATGATCTCACTAATATGTGGAATCTAATGCACAAAATAAACTGATGAACAAAATAGAACCAGAGGCATGGATACATGGAACAGACTGATAAATGTCAGTGGGGAGGGGAGTGGGGTGACTGGATAAATGAAGGTGAAGGGATTAGCTAAAGAACATATATGCATAGCCCATGGACATGGATAATATTTTGGTGAGGGCTGGGGTGGGGAAAAGGGGCTACAGGGGCTGGGTGGAGGTGGGCAAAGGGGGTGAAATGGGGGACATTTGCAATAGGTCAACAATAAAATATTTAAATTTTAAGAAAAGAAAATGGGAACCTATCACCTTCCTCACCAAATAGTGCCCTGTCCACTAAGTTTTAAGCCAAAGCATAAAAACAAGATCTTTTGTCATTCACAGTGATATGAGTAGCGTAAGTTTTCCCTATGATTCTAAATCATTAGGACTAATTCTTTTCCCATTTCTTGGTGTTTGTTCTAGGATACCCAGCAGACCTGGGGATGAAGCTTCTGGATTTTTAACATGGCAACTAACAGTCCTTCATGGTGCCCTTGAGATAAGATGGAAAATGTAGACTAAGTGGATTAAGAACAATACAGCTAGTTAGCTTTAGTTGGCTTCATACTCAGGTTAAAAAAGTATTTTACTATATGGGCAATACAGGCCTTGGGTGAAAGCATTGGGACTATACTCAACCTGTCCTAGTTTTTAAAAATTAAAAACAACACAATCCTCATCAAATGAATGGGTGACACCCATCTCCCTTTTTATCTATATATTAGAGGCTCGGTGCATGAAATTCATGCACAGGTAGGGTCCCTAGGCCTGGCCGGCAATCAGGGCTGATCGGGGCCTTCCGGCTGCTGGCCGGAGTTTTCCTTCCCCGACTGCTGGTAGGGGCTTTCCTTCATTCTGCGCCGCCCCCTGGTGGTCAGCGCACATCATAGTGAGCGATTGAACTCTCAGTCTCCAGGTCAAACTCCCAAAGGGACACTTTGCATATTAGCCACACACACACACACACACACACACACTCTAGTAGAAGATATCTATATACATAAAAGCCTAAGCGACCATTACGACTGGTCAACCAGTTGCTATGACACGCACTGACCACCACGGGGCAGATGCTCAATGCAGGAGCTGCCCCCTGGTGGTCAGTATGCTCCCACAGCCAACCTCCCATGGCCAGCCAACCTCCTCGTCCCTCCCCGCAGCCGGCAAACCTGCTGCGGTTCCTCCCCCCATCTGGCAGGTTGCATCCAGCAGCCGGCCTGGCCCCGATTAGGACTGGGAGAGATGGCCCCGATAGGCCCTGATCACCAGCCAGGCCTAGGGACCCCACCCGTGCACAGATATCGTGCACCAGGCCTCTAGTCATATATAATACCTTATGGGTGCGAGTACAGATGATGGGATTCTATTTTATCCCCTGGTGACATCCTTTTGTCTCAGTCTGTCATTTCAAATTCTTCATTTCATGTTGTCCTTTTTGTTTTTGTTCTTCATCTTCCTCCTTTTTTTTGTGTCTTTTGTTCCTCTTCATTTTGTTTTT